ATATCCAAAGGATTATAAATCATTCTACCATAAGGACACATGTACACGAATGTTCATTGCAGCACTGTTTACAATAGCAAAGACCTGGAACCAACCCAAATGCCCATCAATGATAGACTGGACAGGGAAAATGTGGCACATATACACCATGGAATATTATGCAGCCATCAAAAACGATGAGTTCTGTCCTTTGTAGGGACATGGATGAACCTGGAAACCATCATTCTCAGCCAACTGACACAAGAACAGAAAATCAAACACCACATGTTCTCACTCATAGGCAGGTGTTGAACAATGAGAACACGTGGACACAGGGAGAGGAGCACTACACACTGGGGTCTGTTGGGGGGGAATGGGGGAGGGACAGTGGCTGGTGGGGAGTTGGGGAGAGATAGCATGGGAGAAATGCCAGATATAGGTGAAGGGGAGGAAGGCAGCAAATCACACTGCCATGTGTGTACCTATGCAACTATCTTGCATGTTCTTCACATGTACTCCAAAACCTAAAATGCAATAAAAAATAAAATAAAATAAAGAAATCACATAATGGTACACCTCAACTTTAACATGCATTAAATATTAGTGTATTTAACACTCAAAAGGCACAGATTTCAAAATGGTGTTTTGTTTGTTTTCTCAAAATGGTTTTGAAAAACAGCAAAACCAAGCATATGATTTGCAAGAGATACGTTTAAATATAAAAACAGTAATAATGAAAGTAAATAGAAAATTATATAACAGGAAAATATTTAGCATAAGAAAACTAGAGTGGTTCTATTACTACAGCTGGCAAAAAAAAAAAAAAATCAAAGCAGGAAGTATTACCAGAGATAAAGTAAGATACCTCATAATGATAAAAAAATGAAAACGAAATAGTCTTATCTTTTTATACCCCTAGTAACTGAATTCACAAAGCAAAACTAACAAATAAATAAGTAAACAAATCTCCAAAGTTGAAGACTTAACACCTTCTTCTCAATAGTATAGAACAATTAGACCAGAAATCAGTAAAGTTTAAAAGATTTTAACAATACTATATACCTTTACTTAACACTAATCAGAACATTACGCCCAACCACTGCAGAATACATTCTTTTCAAGTGTACATGGAATGCTTACCAAAATAAGCCATATTTTGAGCCACAAAACATCTTTATATATTTCAAAAAATGGAAATATTATAAAATGTTATCTGATCACAGAAGCAACTAACTTAGAAATCAGGAACAAATACATATTTTTAGAAAATCCCCAAACATTTGGAAGTTAAACAATATATCTCTAAATAATCTTGGATCAAAGAAGAAATCACAAAGGAAATTAGAAAATTCTTTGAAGTGAATGATTGAGAAAACACAACTTCAAAATTTATAGGATGTAGCATGAGCAGTGCTTAGAGAGAAATGGTAGATATATGTACTCATATTAGAAAAGAGGCTTAAAAGCAGTTATCTAAGTTCCCACTTAAGGACGATACAGAATGGCAAAAATAAACCTAAAGTAAGTGGTAGGAGAGATGTTTTAAGATACAAAAGAGCAGAAATTTATGAAACAGAAAGCTTAAAATGATAGAGAAAATTCACAAGAACAAAATTATATTTTTTGAAAAGACTGGTTAAAATCACATCATCATGATACTTGCCATCATTACAATTTTAAAGCCTAAAAATTAAAACTTAACAGGTTTCACACATTTAAGAGCTAACTCATTTAACAATCAGAAGTAAGTATGGGTTTCATTTAATAGTAACATGAGCTAGCTGCAGGGAATGTTCTCTCAAGGCGGTCCTTTTTCTTCTTTTAATAAAGACAGAACTCTATTAAAGCATATTAGTAAATATCATATTTAAAAGAATTACTACACTGAACTGAGCAGCCACCAAATGCAATGTGGTACCAGTTGATATAAGGGCCTCTGCTCTCAGGGGGCTTATAACCAACTAAGGCAAGAAGTCACAGATACATTCTGCAGTGTAATTTATAGATGAGGTAAAAAAGTGTTCCAAAATTCTAAGACAGACATTGGAATTCTGACCACAACAAGTGTAATATATGGAGCCTCAGAGTAATTATAGGATCTGGAACAGCTGGCGCTCAAATTTAGTGATTCCCCCCAGTTGCTGGAACCTGCCATTTCTGGGAAGTTAAAATTTGCGTCACTGTTTCTACTTGTGATAAAATGAAACCACTTTCAAAGAGAAGCTTCCTATTCCTAGTGACTTCTACTACCTCCACTCAAAGATGAAAAGGGAGAAGGTTCCTCTAAGACTTCCTCATGGGGATCAGAGTGTCACCTCCATGCTCTTGCCCTGAGTGCCCCTGAGCACACCCCAGAAGGAGGCTAAGAGATTTTTGAGAAAGACCATGTGACTGGCTGATAAACACCTATTTTCCTCAGGTTCCACCTGAATTTATATAGTCAGTACATCACTCTTTTATTTTGTCCTCTCTGTTCCTTTTTGTAAATATAAAAATTCTCTGTAGAGGGGGTAAATTACTAAACAAATTCACACTAACAAATACCTGGCCAGGCATGGTGACTTATGCCTGTAATCTCAGTATTTTGGGAGACCAAGGCAGGCAGACTGCTGGAGTCCCAGCGTTCAAGACCAGCCTGGGCAACATAGTGAGGCCTCATCTCTACAAATAAACAAACAAACAAATTAGCCAAGCGTGGTGGCACACACCTGTAGTCTCAGGAGGCTGAGGTGGGAGGAACACTTGAGCCCCGGAGGTTGAGGCTGCAGTGAGTTATGACCATACCACTGCACTCCAGCCAGGGTGACAGAGCAAGACCCTGTCTCGAAAAAAAAAAAAAAAAAAAAAAAAAAAAAAAAAAAGAAAAGAAAAAAAACTCTTCAGGCTGATCAGATCTGCTTTTCTCTGATGAGTAGCTCAGGAGCTCTACATTTCTGATTGCTACAATAGACAAAGTGGAGAATGGAGGTCAAGACCTCAAATTTCTGAAGCTGAGCTTAAGAATGAGAGTGTATTTTCTGGTTGTTTTCTTAACTCATTTCACTATAAAGCCATGCCTGATATTAACAGTACAGCTCTAGACTAGAGAGGCCTGGCAATCCTACAGCCTTCTTCTGTCTTCTAGCCGGGACTTCACACCACAGACCCAGAGGAAAAGAGACCCAAATATCCCTGCAGAAACCAGAGAATAGTCCCTTTACCTCAGTGGTTTCACAATCCGTTTTTCATTTCCTGTTTCTGCTGTAAATAATTCACCGTATTTTATAACAGAGGGAAGGCCAGGTCCTTGTGAGCCAGGAGGGCTTTGAGAGATGATGAAAGCTATGTATTTTACCATAACCTAAGGACTTCTGGCAAGGTGCCTTACCTGAGCTGGAATCCTGCCTTTTTTCCCTAGACATGGAAATATCTGTCAGTGCGGAAAGACCTACTTTTGATCTTGGAAATAAGTGTCCTGGGGTGAGTTCTTAACCCTTTCCAGCCTTCCCACCCTCTTTGGCTGTAGCCATGGCCTTCTGATCCATATCTCTCAGGGGACCTGCAAGCCCCAGATATAGCCCCATGCTGTCCTCCTACTCCAGAGCACATTATTCAGGCTCCTTTCACGGGAACTGAAATCCAGTATTTCACTTACTCTTTTTCTTCCCAATATCCTCATGGCATTCAATATTTCACTTAGAGTATAGGTCCTCCCTGCCCAAGGCCCAAGTCAACCTTCTATCCAGTGGGATTTATAATCCAGTGCTTCCTAGCCCTAGCAGAATCCCATGTGGATAATCAGAAACATGACTGGAAAAAGGACAGAGCACTATGACAATGGGTCCCAGTCTCCACTGCTGGCAGTAAACCTCCAGCAGTGAGCTTTGTAAGCATCTTACACTCTGCGCTTGGTTGAAAACAGCAAAGCAGGCATCCACTTGAGAAATGTTAACCCCTAGGAAATACCAGCCCTAAGTCTTTCTTATCCCTTGGGAAGTACAAATTGGGTAGAGAAGAAACAGATTAAAAACATACAAAACAAATCATACTTAGATATTTTGGCTTTCCTCACCAGGGCTGGATTAAAGTGTGTACTTCAAAATAATAATAATTTAAGTCAATAAATAAATGGGCCAGGCGTGGTGGCTCAGGCCTGTAATCCCAGCACTTTGGGAGGCTGAGTCGGGTGGATCAGGAGGTCAGGAGATCAAGACCATCATTTCCAACACTGTGAAACCCCGTCTCTACTAAAAATACAAAAATTAGCCAGGCGTGGTGGCATGTGCCTGCAGTCCCGGCTACTCAGGAGGCCGAGGCAGGAGAATCGCCTGGGAGGTGGAGGTTGCAGTGAGCCGAGATTGCGCCACTGCACTCCAGCCTGGGCGACAGAGCAAGACTCCATCTCAAAAATAAATAAATAAAAATAAATAAATAAATGTAAGGAAGTCCAAATGTTCACATGAAGATGACTGTGGTCATTTTTTGGCAATCCCCAGTTCTCTTTTCCACCTGTCTGCTCAATCGTTGTCTCCCTCTCCCTCTCTTGCTGGGGCCCATGTCCCAGCTTTACTGTTGCCAGAAGCTTGTACTTAGTTTGCTGTTTAGGTAGGAGCAGTTACTTCCACAAAGCATCTTTGTAAACAAAGCAAGTAGAAGAAACACATCCTGATATCCACCACACTCGGCTTTTGTTGATTCTGTTCACTTGGGGGCAGCTGCTGCTGAAGAATAAGAAGATTGAGGCTGAAGAGTGAGGACTGCTCCCTGCTGGCAGGACCTGGGAGAGGAAAGGGCCCACAGTTGATCCATCCTCCCCATTCCTGGTCAGCCGTCTGTTCTGAGATCAGAGCAGTGGGGTCACACTCCAAAGAATTGTGCTCAGCCCCTTCATCTCACACCCTTCCCTCTCTTCCTGAGAGCCTGCCTCCCTCTTACATAACATGATGGTGATTGGCATTGTCATGAGTCAATACTTTGCTCACTTTCACATCAAGTAACACTATCCAGGGAGGAGGTTTCAACAAAGGAGGAAGTATTAGGAGATCTAGGTTCCAATTAACGTTGCCTCTAGTGGTAAAGGACAGAGACCCTCAGACTGATGAAATAGGCTCAGAATTACTTAGACAAAGCAGATATTTGTCACTCTCTTCCCCTTCTCCTGTATTTTACAGTGAAGTCAGCTGAACAAAAAACGTAGGGGAATATAATGAGAGTAAATACGGTAATCTCTTCATGTGCTAGTTCAAGCGCTGGACTTGGGACTTAGGAGTGGCAGTGGGGCCACTTAGAGCCCACATCTGACTTTGACTGAAATGTAGGTGAGAGACAAGATTGTCTCATATCCGGGGAAATCATAACCCATGACTAGGACGGGAAGAGGAAGCACTGCCTTTACTTCAGCGGGAGCCAAGTGTTCACAGTGAGAAAAGCAAGAGAATAAGCTAATACTCCTGTTCTGAACAAGGCAGCGGCTCCTCAGTAAAGCTACTCCTTGATCGATCCTTTGCTCCTGATTGTTCAAAGTGGACCCCAGGGGAGAAGTTAGAGCAAAGAAGTTACCACCGCCAAGCAGGTATGGTTTTTCTTTCTTCCCCTTTTGCTGGGGGCTGACTGCCCTTCAGCTCCATGCAAAAGATGTGCATGAACACAAATATACCTTCTCTTTGAGGTCAGCATCATAGTGGGTCATGAATCATGTTTGCCTTGCTGCTGTCTCCTCATTTCCAGGTTGGAAAAAAATAAAACATGAAAACAATCACTTAATGTTGAGCTCCGTTACTGATGCTCTCTGGTCCTGCACTGGCCTCCTAGAAAAATCATCACAGGAAGCCTCAACTCTGCATGAGTTACCACAAGTCACACATACAACCGGCTCCCTATTACAGAGCTAGAGTCCCTGGACCCAGGAAATACCACCCCCCAGGACTGTGGGAACTGGGGACTATGGGAACTGGGAGCAACTCAGTCCTGATTACTTGTGGCCTGCTGGGTTAGTGCTGGCAGCCCCCTGAGGCCAAGGACAGCAGCATGGCAGTCACCAGGCCTCACCACCTCAGGAAGGGGTCCCTTAGAGCCCTTGCCACACCCCTGCACAGCCCTGCAGCTGAGTCGGCTTCAGACCAGTGAGTTTTCTACCTCTACCAGTGAAAAGGCACCTTGTCCGACAGAACCGAGTCTTGCCTGCATGTGCTCAGTGCCACCAAGCCCTTCTTCTCTCCACATTACAGCCCAGCTCAGCTGAGGCTATGGCCAGAGGCACTGCTTTAAGGCTACTCTATGTCTAGGACAGGTCAACGGACACCTTTGAGTCCACTGAGTCTTGACTCAATGAATCAGCTATCGCAGGCACTATTCCCTTCCCACATGGCGTCTAATGAAATGGCCAGAGTTGAAAGGATTCTAAGGGAGGACTCAGTGGCTTATTTAATTAGTTGGTTAATGGGAAAGATTATTTTTCTGTACATTTTTAAAATGTGCATGCTTTAAAAATATTTTAGTTATGTAATAAAAGTCTAAACCTGGGTTGACAAACTATGGCTCACAGGCTAACTCTGGCCCACCAGCTGTTTTTATAAATGAAGCTTTATAGGAATACAGCCATGCCTATTTGTTATATATTGTATATGGCTGTTTTTGCCCTACAACAGCAAACTTGACCAGTTGCAAAAGAGACAGTATGGCCCACAGAGCCTAAAATATTAACTACCTGGCCTTTGACAGAAAAAGTTTGCCAACTTCTAATCTAAAGTTGTCAACTTGTTTCAGAATTATTCTGGAATAAACCCAAGAAACCACAAAACTGACTAGACTATGTTTTTTTTAGGTAATAACTTTTAAAATTATAAAGTAATACATTATTTTATGCTCCTTGAAAATGAGAAAGCAGTATAGATAAACCTAAATTAACCTTTGGCCATTCTGTCAATCCTAATCTCTGGTTTCCCCAAAAGCACTTAGTATGATATATTTACTGCCAGTGTGTGTGTGTGTGTGTGTGTTCATCCATGCATAGATGTACTAATAAACACCTGTTGTCATGTCATTCTAATTCTGTTTTTCCATTCAACAGTATGACTTGGAGACTTTCCAAGCTGTATAGAACTCACTTCATTATTTTAACTGCTATGTCATATTTCACAGTGTATACTTCTTTTATTTAGCCATGTTCTTTTTGATAGATATTTAAGCTTTTCCAATTTTTCAGTCTTACCAATGAACCTCACTGCATTTGTCTGCTTGTACACATGTGCAAGTATTTCACTAGAGGAACTACTGGGAAGTTGAATTGCCACATCACAAGATATATGTGTTTCAATTTTTGACTGCCAAACAGCCCTCCATAGAGCTGGAACCGATTATAATTTCACCAGCAGAAAAGGGTAGTTACTGTTTCTCCACACGTCAAACAATGCTTACTGTTTATTCAGTATTTTATTATTTTTTCCATTTGAATAAGTGCAAATGATAACCCATTATTTCAATATTTCAATTTCCCTGATTATTAATGAAGTTGAGCATTCTTTTTATAGGACCCCTCTTGGCCATTGTATTTCTCTTCTTAAATTACCTATTCATATTCTTAGCTTATTTTATGTTGGATTTTTTAAATCCTTTGTGGGAATTTATTTATTCCCAATGTAAATTATTTGATGTGCATGTAATATTCTCCCTAAGCCTGTCACTTGTGTTTTAACTTTAAATCATACTTTTTAGCCAATAGAAATTTTTACTATTATTGTTGTCATTATTTTGATGTATTTGAATCTGTCAATTTCCCCCTTTATGGATTTTACTGCTATCTAAAAGATTTCTCAATCACCAAGATTATGAAGCTACTTTGGTGCACTTTTCTGTAATACTTTTATTTAAAAAGTAAGTCTTTATTCACCTGGCACTTATTGCAATACATTATTTTGATACTATTTATTGAGAAGGTCATCTTTTCCCTATTTGTTTGAGGTGTCACCTCTATCATATACTAAATTCCCACTTACAAACATGTTCATTTCTGGATACTCTGCCCTTTTATATCTATTTCCTATTCCTGAGCCAATTTCCACTATAATGTTTACCTTTCTACTTGATTTTTCCCCCTGATAAATATAAAGTCTATTTTGTGTTTTGATATTTTTCCTGGTTACCTTACAGAATTCTCTTAATAGTTGTTAAAGCTTATCAGTTGATTACTTCAGAATTTCTAGATAGACAAACATATCATTTATATATAGTAAGAGTTTTGCTCCTTCCTTTCAAATCTTTACAAACCTTAATTTTTTGTGTTTCATTGGTTTTTCTTGGCCATCCAGCATAATGCTGAGTAGTAGCCATGAAAGAAGATAGTCTCAGAGCTGATACATACAGCTGTGGGGGTTGTATACTGCACAATTCTAGGGGGTACTGTTTACAAACACTTAGATGTCCTAGGTATTTTTGTCATGTTTCAGAGTTTAATCCATTTTTATTTTGTACTATGAACTCATTTTTCTTGGAACCTTCTCTTTGGGATTCATTGAGATTAAAACTGTTTTCCTATAGAGGATTTATTTTTGCTTTAGCCAGGGACAGAACCACCTGGGACCACCATGAGCTTGTGGTCTATTGGCCACACAAATAAGGTGAATTCTGACCCAAACTTACCTTATTATAGGCCTGTTGTTAAGAATCTCAAAGAAGCCTTTTCTTTTTGCTCCACCCAGAGTGAAGGCTGAGAAGGCCTGGGACAGACCTGTCTCCCTCCATAGTTCCTACTGAGGATGTCACCCGTAGGGGATCTTGAGTTTATAATCTCTAATCTGGTTAGGCCCCAGGCTTTGCCTCCTATGCTAACGTTAAAATCCAGGCTCCAGGCCTACAGAAGTCCAGAAAACCCCAAGACGATCACTGACTCCCCTCTCTCATGCCTCTGGCTTAGCATAATCTTATAAATTGTGGCCTCTTGAGACTTCCTTTACTTTCCTACCAGTGCAATCTGCATAAAAAATGATATTCTTAAAAATTTATCTAGTATTTTTAGGTGCTGTATGCCAGGAGGATTTTCTCCAACCACCTTCTCCATCATAGTGCCCGCAATAAAATCTTTATTTTTTATTTTAATAAGATTGATCCTAATGCTTCTCCAATAAGATACATAGTAAAAGTGTTTGGTAACTATTCTATATCAAGTTAGTGAAGCTCTCTTCTATTCCTCTTGGTTAACCAAGAATTATAAATTATGAATGGATTTTGAGTTTTATTAAATGCTTTTTGGCATTTATTAATTTCCTTATCTTATTTCCATAGCTAATTATATAGCTCATCCCAAGGGTGATGGAAGCAGAGATGACCCAATAGCCACTAGGACCCTTGGAATGCAGACCCATGATTTTTCCATTAAAAAGAACAATAAATTCAGAGAATGTGGACATTAATTCAAATTCTTAGTATGGTTGCCATGTTCTGTTCACTGACCCATCAGTCTCTTGTCCTCACACTTCAGATACTGGTGTCCTGGGCACAACCTGGGCAGGTCATGAGGGGTGTGTAGGGGACGCCTCTTGCACACAGGGGCCTTTTAGATGGCACAACTTGAAAGGGGCTGGGAAAAGTTCCCTGCAACACCTCCTGAACCTCTATGAAACATTGACACAACAAACTGAATATCCCATTGGAAACTGATATAAAAAGGCATATCCAAATTCCTCATTTAATGTGTGAAATAATTTTACTGGATCTCTATAAATTTCTGAAGAGTCAAACTACAAAACCATGGGCAATACTGGCACTCCACATGCATCGATAAGACAGAGGCAGTTAACTCAGAGGCCACTGTGTCCTGTTAAATATTGGAAGAGAGTACTGCGTGTACTTATGACCTGGGCTGATGCCAGCTCTCAACCCTGATCCATGTCTAGTAACCTGCTGAACTCTTGGATCTAAGTCCCAGGAAGCATAAAGGCCAATTTTCATTTACGGCCCCCTGAAGATAGCAACTGGCTTCTCTTATCTGAATTAATGAACTATGACTTCAGCTATCTGAGTTTTCCTTTGGAGGCCTGTCCCATGCCAGGGCCAATGAGAAGACTTTTGTTTACAAAACATAAAGAATTTAAAATATATAGCCTTATTTTATCCCCATGAATTTTGTGAAAAAGCAACTTGTATCATGTATCTATTTACATGACAGGAAGAATTAGAATAAGAGAAAAGAAAAGATGTTGTGGCTGGGCGTGGTGGTTCGTGCCTGTAATCCTAGCACCTTGGGAAGCTGAGGCATGTGGATCTTTTGAGGTCAGTAGTTACAGACCAGGCTGGGCAACATGGCAAAACCCTGTCTCTACTAAAAATACAAAATTGGCCAGGAATGGTGTCACACACCTGTAATTCCAGCTACTTGGGAGGCTGAGGCACAAGAATTGTTTGAACCCAGAAGGTGGAGTTTGCAGTGAGCAGAGATCGTGCCACTGCACTCCAGCCTAGGGGAGAGAGTGAGACTGTCTCAAAAAAAAAAAAAAGTTCTGTCATTAATTGACTTCATGAACACACCCCAGAACCCTAGTTTCCTCATTTGCAAAAAGGATAAGACCTGCCCCACCC